TAAAAAAAATAATAACACTGACTGTAAATGGCCTAAACGTATCAATCAAAAGACATATACCATAAGATTGGATTTAAAAACAAGACCCAACAATATGCTGTGTTTAAAAGACTCACCTCATAGGCAAAGACACCCACAAACTGAAGGCAAAAGGATGGACAAAAAACATCATTCACATGGATCTCATAAATAAGCAGGGGTTTCTATCCTCATATCAGATAAAGTGGACTTCAAGCCAAAGTTAATCAGAAGAGAAAGAAGGACATTTCATACTGCTTAAGGGAACTATACATCAACAAAACATTACAATAGGAAATATGTATGCACCAAACAATGGAGCATCTATCTATATCAAGCAAAGCCTTCTCAGTTTCAAGAATCAAATAGACCACAACACAAATATACTGGGTAACTTTAACCTGCCTCTGTCACCACTGGGTAGATCCTCCGAAAAAATAAAAAAATAAAGAAGCTATAGAACTAAAAAATACAATTGAAAATTTAGACTTCACAGACATATGTAGAATATTTCATCCATCAACAACTGAATACACTTTCTTCTCAGCAGCACATGGATCCTTCTCTAATATAGACAATGTTATATAAGCTATCACATATATTGGCATTAAATTGTAATATTACCTTAATATATTTTTAGCATCTGTAGAGTTATGATAGCTCCCTTTCCATTAATATTAATTTTTGTGTTCTTGCTTTTTTCTTGATTATATTTGTTTGATTTTTATCAATTTTAGCTGTATTATTTCTTCTCTATTTCATATATTTCTGCTCCTACTCTTATTTTTTTCTTCCTACTACCTTATTTGAAAATAATTTGATTGTTAATCTAACTTCTTAATGATACAAGTATTTTAAATTACAAGTGTTCATATGAGTACTATTTCATCCCAGAGATTCTGATATTTTAAGCTTTTATTACCACTTAGTTCAAAGCACCTTTTATTTACTTTTCTTGTGCTTTCTTCCTTGACCTGTGAGATATTTATAAGTGTGCCATTTAATTTTGAAGTAGTTGACATGTGGGAGTGGGGTTCCATGTATCTTAAAGTGATTGATTTCTAATGTAATCAGTCATGCAGGAAACAAAATCTGTATGATTTCAAATTTTTAAAAAGTAATGAAAATGCTTTTTATATTGATTGTATTGGTTACATATGTGTCAAAACATGTTCTTCCCCTACCCTTGTCACTGAAATAAATGAATGAAGAAACTGTCCATACAGATCTACCTCACTTTTTATTAATATTTTTTTAGTTGTAATTGGACACAATACCTTTATTTTATTTATGTGGTGCTGAGGATCGAACCCAAAGCCTTGCACATGCTAGGCAAGTGCTCTACTGCTGAGCCACAACCCTGTCCCTCTCAAGTTTAAAATCACTTTGTATATGCAATAATTAACCACTCATTTCTTGATAGACGTGTAAGTTGTTTCACATTTGCTACTTTGATTGAAATATATATTACTGAACATAAATTTTTAGACAAATAGTGTTATTTCATTATTTTAAAGATGCTTTTAAAAGTTTAAATTAGGTTCAAGTTGAAAGTGTGATGACTTGAAATTTTTGGATTACTAAAATTCCTTCCCCAAAAAGGGTTGCATATTCTCACAAATATTTTATTTGATCAATTTAAATTTGGGGAAAAATTTTGGTACAATTATTGTCTGTTATTGTCTATTTCAATTGTCTGTTTTCTCAGTAGTTTTAACATGAAATGAAACTAATCCCTAATCTATAAAGCAGGATATCTACAGTGATGACTTGAGCACTAGGATTCTTCTGAGAATGTGCTTTTAATTCTGATATGTCAAAAAAAATTTAATTCTGATATATCAAAGATATTTCTCTTTACTTTGGGGAGTAATTTGGACAAAATGATCAGGTATCAGAATGGGCCAACAGAGGAAAACCTTAGTTCATGAAGTTATTTCAAGCAAACCAGACAGCAGAATAATTGCAAACACTCATGCTAGAGATCACAAGCTAAATCATGTTCATAGAGCCTAGAGCAGCTGGCAGTCATGGGTGTATAACCAGGGTTTAACATTAGGTAACGAAGTGTCAGAGGAGAGAAGATTGAGAAACTAGTGGTATCTCAGACAACTTTCTTGTTAATTCAGGGTCTTTACCTTAATTTTAGTCAGGATCTGAAACTCTTTCCTCAGCTGATTTGACACCACCTCTCTAAGACCAATCCCTTTACTTCCCTGAGGTACCAGCGCAGGTGGGTATCAGGATACATCAATTTCTGCAATCCTTATATAGGCTCTCCCATGGTTTACACATGACTGAATTTGAGAAGATCCTCCCAGCAGAAGTGAGTGATTGCTCACATAATCCTGCTCTGCTCTCAGTTCTGGTCAACCCTGATCTGGGATTTCCTTGAACTGCCCCTCTGGGGACTCAGGAAATTAAGGGCATTGGTCCTGAGTATTTGCCCAAAGTCTGTTAAGAGTGGAGTCCAAGGTGCTAATGGAATGTTAGGACTCTGTGTGATTTCTGAAGAAACCACACATGCAAGACATACAAAGAGGTACAATGACCCACCCCGGCTATGAGCTCTGCCCCTCCTAGTGGAGGGGGCTCAGATGTTCCTTTACTATTTCTTCTGAAAATTGAAGGGTAACATGAGGATGCCCTTCATTTAAGGCTAACCCAGGTAATCAGAAAGAAGAGTTCCATTGTGGTGTAAATTTTAAAATTAAGTATAAACAAATAAACAAACAAACTTATATGAGTTCTAAGGAAACCCCCATTTCAGATCAGTGTCAACTCCACAGAGCCCATTCATGTGTAAATCCTGGGAGAACCCAGGCAAAGTTTTCAGGAGGTGATGCACCCTGATACTGGCCTTGGGACCTCAGGGAAGTGAAGGGTTTTGTCTGAGAGGGGTGGTGTTAAGTCAGCTGAGGGAAGAGTTCCAGATCCTTCTTGAAATTAAGGTAAGGACCCTAATTTAGGTATGTGGATATCCCCCACTTGACTCGAAGGCGAGAGTTCTGACTCTGCTGTCAGCCCTAGTAGGATCTAGACCAGAATCATAGGACTTAATGACCTCTGAGTAGTTTCTAAATTCCTTCAAAAGGGACTAAGGCGGGTAAGGATATTAGACGCAGGGTGTTTTCTTCACACCAATAGAGGAAAGGTTCCCAGACTTTAATCAAAGAAAAGATGGAGAATTTGAATGAAGTCTGAGGTAATCAACCACTCTGAACGGAAGGAACATCACAGAGCCCCGCCTCCTGTCCCGGCTGTCTGGGGGAGGGGTGCATGGGAGGATGTGACGCATATCAACTTCCGCCTCTGGCGTTTGAGGGATACGATAGCGTCTGTGTGAGGTGGCACACCACCAGGACAGTTGAGGGAAGAGCCCTAGTCCTTGCCTAGAATTAAGGTAAATAATAAGTTGGGTGTGATGGGACTGCCCACCTCAGACTGGTGGGGCTCCCAGAGTGACCCCGCCTGACGTCAGTTTTGATAGAAATTAGATTGGAGTCATCGGACATCCAGATGATCTCAGAGTCATTCCTAAATTCCCTCAGAGGATTTTGAGAGGGCCAGGGTGTTGACTTCAGACCAGCAGAGGAAGGGTTCTCAGGTTCTAATGGGAGAGATTTGATGCAGTTACCCCAAAATGTCCATAAATGTCCAGACCCACATTCATACTTCTGGTCCAGAGAGGCTACATGTGAAGGTGGATTGATGTAAGGAACCCTGAGTAATGCCTTTGGGGTCTCAGGGAAGTGAATGCCTTAGAATGGGAGCAAGGTGGTATTGTCAACATAGGGATGATTCCTCAGCTCTGCTAGGGGTTAGAGTGAGGTGACCGAGTGAGGTCTCAGGGATCCACAAATAAAGGGTACCACACAAAGCCACACCTGCTGTTAGTCCAGGGAGGCTTTGGGGCAAAGCTGTCAGGAGAGGCATTCCCTTACATTGCACTTCAGAAGCCAAGGAAATAAGGTCATTTGACTGAGAGGGTCAGCCCCATCTTATTAGGGAGAAGTCCCAGGCTCTTCTGGAAGTCAATGTGAGATCCTGTGTGTAGACTTTCTTGTGAACTCAGGGTCTTTACCTTAATTTTAGGCAGAATCTGGAACTCTTCCTTCACCATTTGACACCAGCTGATTTGACACCACCTCTCTAAGACCAATCCCTTTACTTTCCTGAGGTTCCAATGCAGGTGTGTAGACTGAGGGGACTACCAATCTCAGAATTGCAAGGGTCACAAAGAGTACTATCTGCACCTTCAGGCCTAAATGAACCAAAAGCAGATGTATTATGCTATGGCTTCCCTGTCTTTTTGGAGTTTTCAGGAACTGAGACCTTTGCTCAGGGGCAATAGATCTAAAGTCAGAAGAGGGAGGAGTCACAGTTCCTAGCAAAAGTGAAGGTGAAACACTGTGTGATGACTATGAACATTAATTACCCCAGTAAAGATTCCCATGAAGCCTGTGATTTCGTCCCTTTGTGTCTCCAGGTAGATGTGGTGAGGTGAGATTCCCCTCAGTTCATCCTCTGGAATCTCACAAATATGAGGGTTGTAAAATGAGGGGTCATCATCAAAAAAATAGATCATAGGGACCCCAGGTGCTGCTAGGATTCAGTTGATAACCCTTAATGTGAACTAAGAAAGACCCACAACCCAGAACAATGCCACTGCCTTAAGCTCCAGTAAGCTCCAGGCAGATCTGGCATCTAATATCCAAAAGCATACCTTAATTATTTCCACAGAGTCCTAAGGAGACAGACAGGTCACAGAATAGGCACATTGTGAGTTTCTAGAACAGTGATTTCAAGGAAAACTGCAGAGATAGCTTTCAGTAAAGCCAAGGAGTTGTCTCCTAGTTGATGTGGCCCAACAATTTCACTCTCTTTTGTTGTTTGCAGAATACCTGTCTCTCTCCCTACTGCCCGGTCTAAAACCATAATGCCTCGAGGTCAGAAGAGTAAGCTCCGTGCTCGTGAGAAACACCGTCAGGCCCAGACCCAAGGACAGCCTAATGGTCTGGAGGGTGCTCAGGCCACTGCAAGAGCAGGTGGAGAGTTTCACTCCTCTTCCTCCTCTCGTTCCAAGAGTAATCCTCGGAGTTCAGCTGCTGCTAGAACAACTAGCAATCCTCAAGGGTCTTGGAGAGCTGCATCCACCACCACTACTTCTGCTGTTGTTTCATACAGAAGATCTAATGGAAGTGGGAACAACCAAGTGGAGGAAAGGCCAAGCTCTTCTCAAGCCCAGCTTGCCACTGGGCACCTGTCCAGAGGCCGTCTGGATGAGAAGGTAGTTATATTGGTGCATTACCTGCTGTATAAGTATCAAATGAAGGAGCCCATTACAAAGGCAGAAATGCTGAGAAACATAATCCAAATGCACAAGAGCCACTTCCTTGAGATCCTGAGGAAAGCTTCTGAGCACTTGGAACTGGTCTTTGGCCTAGACATCAAGGAAATGGATTCCAACAAGCATATCTATATCCTCATCAATAAACTGGAACTAAGCTATGATGCAAGGCTGAGTGACAATGGAGGTGTGCCCAAGACTGGCCTTCTGATGACTATCCTGGGTGTGATCTTCACAAAGGGAAACCGTGCCACTGAGGAGCAAGTCTGGCAAATCTTGAATGCAATGGGCTTATACAGTGGTAGAGAGCACTTTATTTTTGGCGAGCCCAGGAAGCTTATCACCAAAGATTTAGTGAAAGAAAAGTACCTGGAATATCAGCAGGTGCCCGACAGTGATCCTCCGCGCTATGAATTCCTGTGGGGCCCAAGAGCCTATGCAGAAACCAGTAAGATGAAAGTCCTAGAGTTTTTAGCCAAAGTCCATGATACCATCCCAAGTGCCTACCCAACCTGGTATGAGGAAGCATTGAGAGATGAGGAAGCAAGAGCCCAAGCCAGAGCTGCAGCAAGGGCTCACATAAGTGCCATAGTTAGTGCAAGATCCAGGGCCCTGTCCAGTTATTCCTCCCGCCCCAAGTAAATTCTCAGTCATTTACCACATTGTGGTCAAAAAGTCCACAATCTACATAGTGGAAGGTCAAGGGTGGATCTGGAGACAATACAATGTATAAGAATGTTATTTTCCTGTTCTGTGTTCCTCAACAAGTTTTCAAAAATATTATTCTTGTCATCAGAAGGTTAAAGTACCTTCATATGTAAACTTATGAATGACATTGTTCAAACATTTATTGCTGTGAATGGAATTGAGTAAGAGGGTTTTTTCTTTTGTAAAACAAATTAGGAAAATTTCCATCATATTTATTCATTTAGGACATGACAGCATGGCAGTAAATTAGACATTTCCTAAGAATGTGAAAAAACTCAGAATTGTAAAAGTTGATGTCAAGAAATAGATAAAAAAATAAAATAAAAGATCATAAATGGTCTCACTTATCACTGTAATTGTTGTTTTGTACCAGATTATGTTTACTTTATTGAAGAATGTAAAATAATACATTAGAACTCTTTCTTAAGGGCTTATATTTTTCTCAAGAAATAATTGAGAATTTACTCTTTGGGAGGCTTGTTTTCATACCTGAAATGCTAAGATGAAGAGGAATCATCCCTGTACTTATAAATTTAAAGACTTGGAGCAGCCATGATTAAAGGAAGATGCTGAATGTCTCACTTCAGATTGCTTGAACAACAACCATTTATTTCTCAGAGTTCCAGAGGCTGGAAGTCTGAGATCATATTGCAGGTCAGATTCTTGGTGAAAGTTCTCTTCCTGTTTCACAGTTTGCTTATTGTATCCTCACATAGTGGAGAAAGAGAACTCTGGTGTCCTTAATGGTTCCATTAACAGAAATTTATTTCTCACAATTTTGAAGGCTGCAGAATCCAAAATCAAAGTACTTACAGATACAGTGTTTGATGCATAGACCACAGTCTTTTTAATGTTTCCTCACATAGAAGAAAGGGTGAGGGATCTCTCTGGGATCTTTATCATAAGAGCACTTTATCATAAGTTATGAGGGTTCCCCCTCATAACCTAATTACCTCCTAAAGGCCCCACTTCCAGATACCATCACATTGGAGATATAAAATTCAATGTATGATTTTTTTTGGGGGGGGACAAACATTTTGTCCACAGCTATGAGAATCTTCTAACCAAAAGGGCAAAAATCAAAAGAAGGTGAGGTTTTCAATATACATGCCATATGGCAAGGATTTGGTACCTTGAGGAATTGCAAGTCTTTCAGTGTGAAATAATTTTAACTTAAACAGAGTGGTAGGACAGATTAGCCTGTGGAAGTAGTGGGCAGGGGCCCAAACCTCAGATGGTGTGTTCCGGTGTCGAGAGACTAAAGTCTAGAATGGAAAACTGCTTTTACAAGATACTTTTATATCATGAATAAAGGGGAGATAAATCTCTGCCTGGGGAAGGAGTGTAAGATGTCCCATAGTCTGGTCTCCGTGTAAGTGTATAAACGATGATTTGTGCACATCAGCACAAGGGAGTGTCTGAGAAAAAAATGGTAATATTCATATGAGATGGAATGCTTAGAAGCCACTGTGCTGGCATTGCAGTCTTCAAATTAGGACCAGGCACTGTACCCGTTTCCTTTCATAAATACATTTCAATATTCCTCATTCACAAAGAAAACATGAGAAAGGGAGCAGCAGATTATCAAGCCCACTTTCTAGAAGACAAAGAATCAGGCTCATGGAACTCATTTGGAATTCATATTGTTCTCACTCCTCCTTGCCTAGGCCAACCTTAAGCCTCTTAATTCATTTCTTAGTACTCCATAATATCTCCTAGGAAATTAAAAGAGGACCTGAGGGAGCAATGAACTGAACACAGTTGTAATAAATAAAAGAGAAAATGAGAATTAAACATCATTTGAAGAGTGCCTATGGGCATCATTTGCCTAGCATTCACCTGTCCCTCCAGTCCTCTTGTAGAGTTGACTCTGTCCAGGCATGGCACATGGGACCAGGCCTAGAAAAAGAATTACATTGCTCTTCCCCTGAGTCAGCGAAGTGGGTCCTCATGGCCATATATGCATCGTGACCTGACACCAAGTTCTGCCCTACTTCTTTCCATGGATGCTGTATCTGCACTATGTCAAAAGAAAGCTTGACCCTCACTTAGAGCATCCTGACTCCCTACAAATGTTCCCTGTTTTTCACTTCACTTATAGTGGAATCCCTCCGAAAACAAGAGCCCCTTTCACACAATTATTTACTTTAGCAGTGAAATTTAAGCATCTGTTTTTTGTTCTAGATGTTTCTACCCCACTCTCAAAGGATTTTTTCCCCAAAATTGTCTGTGGGTAGAGCCAAATTTAACATAGAGTTAACTGATTCTTGGGATGTTAACTATGAAGTTAGAGACTTTAGAAGGCAAATAACATTAGTTAGAAAGAAGAAATTAATCTGGAGACTTATTTGAGACTAGCTTTTAAATCCATTCATCACTGAGTACACTTAAGTGGTCAAGAACATAAACTTCTCTTATAATCAGCAAATGAGAAAGGATCAAGGAAGTCATTATGCAGCAACCAACCATCTACAGAGTTTGGATTCTAACAAATCCTGTAGTACCTCAAGGAGAATGTAGTTGATTTCTATGGCTGCAATAACACATTTCTGCAAATCCACATTTTACAACAAAACATACTTCTGATCTCACATATGTGAATTAAAAAATACAGGATGTCTCTACTATATTCTTGTTGTGGCTTATCACAGGCCTATACAAAGCTATGAGAGCCTGGACTCATTACTAGGCTTTGGGAAGAACCTCCTAAACTGACTCAGGTTATTGGAGGTTTTGGTCCTCTTGCGGATATAAGATTAAATTTCTGTTTCATGGCTGAATTCAGCTGGCCCAACCAGAATTCCTCAAGACATCACCCTATTTCTTGTTCATGGGCCCACTCATCTTGAATCAGCAATTGCAATTTCAATATTTCTCACACTTAGAGTCTTCTGACCTTCCTCCTCTGCTGCATATCTTTTCTGCCTCCAACCACAGAAAAATCTTTGCTTATAAGCCTCATGTCATTATATTTAGCCCACCCCAGTAATCCAGTATAATTTCCCTATTTTATTACTGGTTTTATATCCTTAATAAACCTACGAAGTGCCTTTGACCATGAAGCATAACATATTTTCAGGTCTCAAAGATAAGTACATGGACATCATTTTCTAGCAATTATTTAGTCTACCACCAATGTTGAAAATGCTCCTAGCATGCTAGCCTTTATGAAAAAATGTAAAAATAATTCCCATGTTTCAGATGACTTGTTAGTATCTACTCCAGGGGAAAATCCTGTTTTCCCAATATGTGTATAGACAACTGTATAAATAAATGTTCAGGCATATTCATCAAGAGGGGGTAGCAGACACTCACTAGTTAGGATTTTGGTCATTTAATGAAAAGAAGAAGAAAATTCCATGTATTAAGATGATTGTAAAGATAAGTATGAAAAGTTTTACTGACTAAAGAATGTTAACCCCAAGTGCTGATATTCATAAAGGATCATTTAGAAAATTGGTATCATATATGAAAACACTTGCACCAGAAAAATTTGGTGAGTTGCAAGCCAACTTTGGCACTCTCAGAAACCTCTCTGACAATGAGGGGGCTTCTGTCATGCAAATTGTAAAATTCACATCATACAGTGAATCCTCTCCCACCATACTGTACATCCACAAGACTGGGGTCCTAATTAGAATAAGATATACTCCATTCTCATATATATATATATATATATATATATATTATATATATATGTGTGTGTGTGTGTGTATTCTACTGTCATGTATAACTAAAAAAACAATAAAAATAAATAAAGTTATTTAAAGAATTTCTTTAAAAAAGTTGCATCATACGGATCACCTACTATATAACTGTTTATGCAAAATTTGCAAGTGCTGATCTACTTTCTGTCTTGCTTTCCTTCTATCCATATAGGGATACTACATTCCAAGTTCATTAGTACTTAGGAAGGTTCATTTGAATCTTTTCCACTGAAACAATGTGTGTCATTTCCAGCCAAGGTATTTGAGAATTGGTATGTCACATCTATGCTTTCAGGCAGATCCCATGCTGAATGTGGAGTCACACAGAGGAAGCCAGTCTGGCTCCCTGATCACCTGACTGTGGAAATCCCTGCATAGTCATATCAGAATTTATGTGCACAAGAAATAAACTTTTTCTGTATTAAAACTTTCATATTTCAGCTTCTTCCATTACATACATTAACAGTTACTTTATATGAATATACACACTGTTTTGTTATGTTTTATTTAAAATTTTTAATAACAAAAGTAATAGTACCTATATTGTGGTTGCTGGTGGTGCTGCTGCAAAAAATCTAACAATACAGGTAAATAACAATTCCCTTTCCTTACTATATTCCTCTAAATTTCTGTCTTCCTCATAAGTAATCACAATCTAAAATATTATAAACATTATTTTAAAATATCTTCTGGACCTTCCTTTACAGAGATGTACTAGAAAAAAAAGTCTGCATTTTAACCTATGTGTGTATGTGTCTGTGTGTGTATGTGTGTGTGTGTTGTGTGTCTGTGTGCGTGCACACACGCGCTGTTCTGCCTGTTCTTGACCTTGTCAATTAATTAAATAAATGAAGGATCTTTTTTATGAACATACATATAGATCCATATTCCTCTTTTAACTACTCCATAAATTTCTAAGGTGTATATATGCTATAATTGATTTCACAGTTCTCCTGATGAACACATAAACTGTTTTTCATCTGTTGCTATGACTAATAAAGTTGATATCAACATCATCAAACAGGATTTCTTGGGAAAATATGAATATTTTCTTTTGGAATAGACAGAAAACTGAAATTTGGGTTACAGTGAAAAGAGTGTGATGATAATAAACTTGCATTAATATTGCTGAAATTCTGTTCCAACAATGCTATATCAATTTATGTTCTTACATATTAGGTAGAATTTCTGCAGTGATTTCTGCAGTATTATGAGGCATGCTTTAAAATTCTAAAATTTAAAAATGTCAGTTAAGACTATTACTTTGAGAAACAAGGATTTGGTCATAATGATTCCATGCCAGGAAATATTCCAAAGGAGACACTTTATGTTACTGAGGAATATCAAGGTTTGGGGGTAGAACAATTTCCAGAGTCTATGAGAGAAATCAAAAGCTAAACCAAGTCAAGAGGGTTCACAGAAGATGGCAGTCAGGTTCTGAATTCAGAGTTCAGCATATAGTCAACAAGGGGTAAACAAGGGACCAAAGGAGAGAAGATAAGGAATCTTGGAGGGTCCTGAACAACTTATACAAGTAGCTTAAGGAATCTCTCAATCATCATTACCAGTCTGAATTTATAGGGTGATCTGCATGAGCAGATATATCATATAAAAGGAGCACAGGAATGCTTGATACATCT